ATCATCTTCTCTATTCTTCATTTGAAAATATTTCGAAAATAAAAAAATTTTAAAAACACGGATAGCAAATTTTCAGCCGCCGCCGCCGACATACGAAAAAGTTTTTTAAAGCTTCAGCCGCCGCCGCCGATACACGAAAAAATTTTTTAAAAATCCAGCCGCCGCCGCCGAAACCCGAGACTTTTGTAGCCGCCACCAGCCGACACATCGAAAATTTTTTAAAAATTCAGCCGCCGCCGCCGATCCGAGCATCGGCTTACACCTCTACTTGTCTGATTGATCAGAAAAATAAGAATCCGACACGAATTACAAGATATTCAAGGTTTTTTGAAGGCCAGACAAGAATCTTTTTCTTTCCTCTCATAAAGAATCTTACCTGAAGTTCAAGATGAAAAGAATCTTGTCTGGTTGATTAGAAAGACAAGAATCAGAAACAGTGTTTTATCCAGGTTTTTTCTTCGGAGGGGCGATTTGAAATTCCGGGAGGGCGAAAAATTTTTTTCGGGGGGCAAGCGATACAGTTCATCGTGCGATGATCACGAGTGTCGGGGGGGGGGGGGGGGCGAACTTGATTTTCGGAGGGGCTCGCCCCCCCCTCCCCGGGTACCCCTCTGGATAAAACACTGATCTGAAAAGAATTACAAGACATTTTAAATTTCTTGGAATTCAGACAAGTTTCTTTTTTTTTCTTTTCAAAGATTCTTATATGATCTTCACGAAAAAGTGGCATGTGACGTCTTTGTGCACATCCTTATAAATATAGATGTTTGGGCACTATTTCTTCATTTGTAAGTGTGAAAGAGACGTGTGCATGATGATTACTCATTGACTTAAGTAACTTTAAAAGTGTATCCACTATTGAAAGAATATCTACTGACTAATTTTTTCGATTGGTGATTACAGAAAGAAGAGCAATATAATTTACAGCAATGATTCTTTTTCTAAAGAATTATATTCATGATTAACCTTTTTCGACATGCGTTAATGAACACATATCTTTGTATTTGACTCGTCGTTAATAAAAATATAACGGTAACGAAAGCAGAAAATCGTATTGATGTATGTGGAGGATTCATTTGTTCCAGCGGAAAATGTTTCGAGTATAATCGGATTTTTGTGCAACAAAATCGCAATTATCATCGATTTTGAAGACTTCCTTTGTGAAAAAAAAACAAAGAAAATTCTCAAAATTGATTATAATTGTGATTTTGTTGCACAGAAATCCGATTATAATCAAAACATTTTTCACTGGGGTGTTACAAGCATCATGCAAGAATTCAAGAAGACAAGAATCATACAAGCATTACAAGAAAGAAAGAATCAGGCAAGAATACAAGAATCTTGCCTGGTGAACCATTTCTTGCCTCCCCAGTCAATATTGTATCTACATGAATCTTGTCGGAAAGTCAATTTCATTATTTTCCGACAAGAATCTTGTATAGAAGGAATGACAAAAGAATCTTGTCTGAAATACCAATAGAAACAAGAATCTGGCAAGAACGATGTCAAGATCGTCAACTAGTGGTAATAATCGATATGTTCTCTTGTCACTTGAATTTCGGAAGTTGGCGGATTTATAGTAAATAGTCTGTACTTTTTGAATGAGACCGATTGGCTCTTTCATTACGATTTTTATTACACTTTTTTTTTGCCAATATCAGATGTGCACTCATTGCTCGATTTTCTCTCATGAGAGATTAAAAATGACTTTGAGATTAAAAAATCCGTTTAAAATCAATCTGGATAGTGTTGAACAAAAACCAATAAATGGGAGATAAAGTCGTCAAAAAAAGATGAGAAAATTTTATTAATTCTTCTTAAGAAAAAATATAACATAAAACTTGAAAATTCAATAGTCACGCTAAATATCACGCGAAATGTTTTTATTTTGTTTCACGTATAACTCTCTTTACACATAAACAGTTTTAGATGAAATTTTTATCATTTTATCTACTCATTGTGGTCAACTATCATTCAAAATATCAAGGTTAGAAAACGTATGATTCGTGAAAAAGAGAAAAGTTAGTGTCAATATGTCACGCGAGATTATTATGTGCATAACTGCCTCACAACTAAAGCCAAAGCAGATACATAATACATTCCTTGACTTCATGTTTAAGGTGCTATCAAGAATCATGCGAATTAATCCTAGATTGTGTCTCACATTTTAATAAATTCACAGAAAAAGGTCACTAATTATATACATTCTCTAATTGACTGCACATTTGCAAATTTTATCACTGTGTAAGTGTAAAGACCTAATTTAGGGCAAAATCATACTGTTTTAGCCGCTAATTCTAGATCAAACATGGTTCCTCATTACAAAGAAAATGGTAAACGTTAAAATTTAAAATATCGTCGAAAAATTTGAATGAAGCGCGTACTACAAATGTCATTCGATCTTGAATTTGAATAATATTTAAAAAAAGAAAACTTGTATCTCGACCAATTTGATAGTGGTGGCCGAAAAATATATTCATAGTCTTCTCTCATATAATACTATAGAATGCACTACTTACCGTTTTCAAGATCGAAAATTTTTTTTCGTCCATTTTTTTCACAGAACGGTAGAAGAAATTTGCAATTCATTCATATATACATATATATATTTTTTTTTTCTTTCTTTTTTGATATCGTTCATTTCAAGATGACGGTGCACTCTCATTTTATGAGCGGTCACAGTTCATTGACATTATTTTATTTATATCGGTTGGACAGGAAAGTAAAATTTTCTTCGTTCATAAGGTCACTCGTTCGTCCATTAAAAGCTTATATACAGATAGACAACAATATTGTTCAATCGTATAAAAGTTTAAAATTTAACCCTTCTTTACAATGCCGCAATTTGAAGACATGTCAAACGAACTTATCCTTTGTGTTTGGGATCAGTTAACAGCTGCAGATGTCATATACAGTTTCTCGCATCTTAATACTCGTATTAATTCGTTGTTGTTAGAATTTTGTGAACTTTACAAACAATTGGATTTACGTTATTGTTCATTATCAGCTTGTCGATTCCTTTGTCATCAAGTACCAACGATGATTGAATGGCGTCTTGGTCTTACTGTTCTTAAATTAGGCAATCGTTATCGATGTTTTCAAATGGATATGTTTGCAGACGAAGTAGCAAAATCAATCGTCGCAAGTCATTTTGCAAGGGAAGGAAAATCATGTAATAATGTACCTAAAAATATCTTCCGTGTCTTAATGACATACAACAAGCAAATACAACCAATATTTCCTCAATTGGTTTCTCTCGTTGTTTTCCAATTTATATCGATTAACGAAGATTCCAGAGACAAACTATTATTTGCTATAGCTCGTGGATCATCAATGCGTACATTTACTTGGAATACTTGTTCTAATCAAACTCATCATTCAAGAGCTTTGTTTGATTGGTTATTTCGATGTTCGGTTAATCTCGTTAGTTATAAACTACAAACTCCACCGCGTGAAAACGGTTTCGAACTCAAATACGAATATACAATCGTTAATGCCTATGTTCCTCATCGTTCTCTCATCTATCTTAAAATCAGCATTCTCAACTTAAATACACTTTATGTACTTCTTCATTATCTTCCTCAACTTAAACATTTAGGTAATAAACCAGAATTCTATACTCTGAAAATATTTATTATACATGAAAATTTTGCAAATTTATCGTATTTCAAAAAATCTTTTCAAAGGAGAAACAATTAACTTTAACCCTTTACCCCCCAGAAAAGTTTCAGAAAACGTAATAAATCAGCCATTGGAAATAGAAGATAAATCTTCCCGCCATGCCAATAGTATGGACAAACTGATCTGCGAAAAGCCTGTCATTCAGGCTACAATATGCACTAGAAACAGTTCCGTAAAAGCTTTTCAATTTCATATTTTTTTGAATTCTGCAACATTTCTATAAATGGTCATTTCAGTGACCAATGGGGGGTAAAGGGTTAACTTTAGAGTTCAAAATTCATCAAGTTTACTATTGCTTCTTTGAATCTAAATGATATTATAAACAAAACTTTCTCTATTTTTATGTTTGAAGAGAAAATTAGAATTGAGAAACATTCCCATTAGAGACAGAATTTTTAGTTAATAACATCGAAAACTCATTGTTTTGATCGTATCATTTGAACGTCACGAGGTTGACAATAGGGAAAAGGAATTCCTTCTAGAACATCTTTACTGGCTTTGAGATTGGTATAACAAACTAAACGTATATTTATTTTATGTATAGATGTATATATTAGCAGCATTATCGATTCAATTAATACCACTGATCAAAATCTGGCAACAAAATTAAATTATCCAAAAAAACTTCGTGTGCTTAATTTAAGGTAAAATACATTGATATTCTAAATATTGTTTTATTGATATCACTTTTTTGAAGGAATTTGAAGATCGGAGGATCAGATTGCAGTGTTCTTGAGCAATTAATGGATAAATTCACAAATACGGTAGAAGAATTTTCTTTGTGTTTAACTCATTACTGTAATGGTGAAGTTGATATATGTTTCAATGGTCATCGTCTTGCTACTCTTTGCAGTAGATTATCTCATTTGCGATCGCTGAATTTTGCTATTCAAGTGCAATTCATAGAACGACGAAACACTCAAACATTGGCTGATTTTGCTCAAACTTTCCGTACACCTTTTTGGCTCGATGGACCTCTAGGTCGCATACAAGTCTGCATGACTTATCACCAAGTATTTGATTTTGTACAGATGTTTTCTCTTCCATATACATTTTCCGACAATACTCTATTTTACACAATCGATCATATCAATGTATTATTCAACAATAGTGAAGAAGAGAAAGAAAGACCAAATAATCTGTCTATAGCACTTAGATCTCTCTGGTGTGGTATGAGATGGTTGTTTATCTCTATGGTTGAAAAGCAAAAAATGCCAATTGCATTTATTCATGCACTACAATGTTCATGTAGTCAGAGTAAGTTAATATTATTGTTCAAAAAAGACATTCTTTATGTATCTGTATCGTTCTTGTAGACAAAGTACTAATTATATCAGATACTAGAGGAATACTACCAGACGATATAGAAGATCATGTACAACTTATGCATTTCACCACGCTACAACTGATAAGTTCATTTGATACCAACAGTACTTACGATCTCCAACGTATGTTCAAATTTATTTTATGTTTTATCGGTTAACCCTTAGAAGTTTTTTGTCGGTCCGACGGGACCCACGACGATGTTTTTCGCTTTTCGCTACTGCAACAACTATGCTTTTTCGAACGATCTTTTCTTTAATCGTTAGTCTTCTAATGATGCATAAGAGCGATATCGAATTTCGTGAAAAAGTCCTAGAGGAAAAAGTTGAAGGGTGAGTCCGTATGGGGCCCTTGACAACCTTGGTGTTATATTATTCATTTTTTTTCTTACTACGTCTACCCTCTGTTGTTTTCAGAGTTTATTCACCCCATATTCGTTAACTGGTTTCTGCCAATAGCGACTCTTTTATCTTTGCCTAAAGAATTTTGTCGAATTTCAATCGAAATATTTTATTTTGCCGTCGCTTCTGAGCGTGACGACTAGATTTTTTTTCTGTGAAAAAAACTAAGCTTGAAAACTTCAAAATTTATCTGAGTATATAGAATAAAATATTTTCTTGATTTTCTAGATTAAAAATAATGACAACTAAATCGAATCTGAAAAGAATTCGAGAAGTTCTTCTAACAAATAATAAAAATAAGGGTGTGGGTGGCTGTCGGTATGTGCGTGGATATCGTCGATGAGATACCCACATCGACATCCCACAGCTACATTCACCCCGAACGAGTGACAGAACTTTGTAGGAAAAACGAAAATAGTTTACACGTGATGTTGTTTTTATTGTACTTTATTTGATCCATTTTCAAACGAAAAAATAAACAAGAAATAGATTTTTCTGATTTCTAATATGAGTGAGTATATATATATATCGCTGCATTTGAAGACATTCACTTGTTAGTACTGCTGTGATCTGTATAGTATGTTTAATAATATTTTAGTATCGTAATTTTGTCATTTCTTAATAAGTTTTTTACACTGTAAACATTTGTATACAAGATAATCTATATTAAGGTATCCGTGCTTCAAAAAATCATACTAAAGATCTCAATTCCTTCATCTCTGACTTTAAAAATGACGAAAAATCAAGTTTTCCTTACTGATTTATATGTGGGTCCTCGTGGATCCACATGTCTTCCTTAGTGTGCTAAAATGAGGAGAGCTTCCGAGGGTTAATTATAAAAGAAGTCATACATACTTATAGATCGAAAGACAAGGGTAGATAAGATCGTTTTCCTATCCCAGAATATTTCGGGCTTTTGTATTAAAATAAAGTCACCGGAGACTGATAATGATATTACAAAGATTTATTGCTTGACAACTTTCCATCGATTTTAAGACTTCCATACGTACTCCTTTACACAGTTGGCTATAACCTTGTTGTCACAGTCCTGTAAGTTGAAAAAACATATTGAGAGATATTGCGAAATAAATATTTTCAATATAATTAGAAATATGCATTGATTTTATTTTAATATAAAAATTGAAATATTTTCGAGAGCGAAAAAAGAACTCTCTCGTCCTATTAATAATAAAAGTAAATTTTTCTCGGAACAATGATAATAATTACATTTTAATATTTTGTACATATTTAG